CATGAATGCGTTCATATGCTCAACCATTTAATTTATGCTCAAACTCTCATCACTCATAGCAGCAAGCTGAGAGTTTGGCAGAATGTCGAAGAACAATGGTTTGCTCCCTAACTTTGTGAAGAATTGCCTTTTCTGTGTAGAAGGATTTTTATAATTTAGAAATATAAAAATGGTGACACTCGTGAAAGTGATGGTGTTAATATTTATTGAACATTTACCAAATGCCCTACTCCACCTTGTGCTTTGAACGCATTTTCTCAGATAACCCCCACAATGCTTCATTGTGGGCCCTATACTTTTCGTTCTCTTTTTGTTTCTTTTTTATTTGTTCATTCATGAATTAAGGCCCTGGGCTGATCCATCCGTGCCACTCAGAGATGAGCACAGTGTGAAGTCTGCCTGCGTAGGACCAGTCGTCAGGCACGTAAGTCTGGTGCCTTCAAGGATACACTGAACTGGTTGAGTTCCTGGCCTCAATGTTTTCTCCATATTCCTAGCACCATTTTTAACCCTATCTTGCAGTTCTAGTGCAGATGCCCCAAACCCAGAGCTCGCACCTTCTCTTTGAATGCAGTGGCACTTCGCTGCCAGTGGTGCTACTTGCTTCTTCCTTCCTCTGTCTCCACATCACTGGCAAGCTCTTCTTCCTCAAGCACCCTTTGATCCGATCTTCCTTTTGCCCATTGGATCTGTTTTCTAGAATTTCAGTGACTTACCATTCTCTCAAAAAGAAACAACAAACTCCTTAATTTCAAACGCTGCCCAATCTTTTTAAGGTTTTCTTCTTTCTGCTCCCCAGTGTGAGCGTGCTCTTTCACACAGGAACATATTTGCTAACTAGAGGATCGCTTTTCTCGCTTATTCTGTATTGCTGTGATTCATGCCAAAATTCCAACAGTGGCCCTGTAGAGAAACTTAACTAAATGGAAAGCATGGAGGGCAGGGGCTGTGCCATGCACTTCATTGGAGCACTCTCAGTAGATCAAGAAATGCCTTGGTAAATTTTTGCTGATGTGAGACTCAAGTCCTGTCCATTGAAATGCTAAAAAAAGATGTAGCTCTGATCAATATAATGTTAACTTGCTGTATTTCTTATACCCATCATTTATTACTGCTAAACAATAATAACAAAAAATAAAGCTTTCTGCTCTCTATACAATTTATGCCAAAAATGGATTGATTCTTCTTTGATAGTCTCTCTTTTGCTGTGTAGCAATATGACCTCATGTAAGGGAGAAATCAAGACTGACTCATGATTAAAGTGGCTTTACTGATTTTAAGACTCTCAAGGAAAGACGAACATTCTTAAAAGGGTCAAAGACCAGATATTTCCTGCACATGCATTCATATAGTAAATCTCAGAGTCTCAGGGCTAAATGGGACCTTAAAGATCCTCTCTCATAATCACCACAGATAAGAAAAAGTAGGTTCTTGTGGTTGATACTTGATTAACTTAGTTCTTAGTCCTTGTACCAGTTATGCATCTACTTCACAAGTTTCTCAGGGCTCCCAAAACTGTTCACTACAGAAATATCTATCAAAATGCTACAACTAATGGAATCAAGCAACGTGTAGCTCCAACCAGGAAAAAAAGCTAGTGTAATAAACTGGCTCTTACTCAATTTTTTAAAGTAATTTCTCAAGAAGCTAAATGTTTTATTTTCTGCAAGTATTTATGTTTGACATGAAATTATTTTCAATAGTACTACAGCAGAGGGAATCAATTTACTCAACAGCCAATAATATATTTTAAGTTCCCTGAATACTGCACACAAAGCTGGAATAAGTTAGCATTGTGACAATGAATAACATGGGTTTTGCAGTCAAATTAACCTGGATTCTAATATGAATACCTGTACTTCCTACTGGGATAAGCATGTGAAATTTCACCTCTTGTGCTTTAGTTTACTCATCCTTAAAGTAAGTTCATAATAATAATCATCATCGTCATCATTTTTTCTTACTGTAAGTATCTCCATAAGAAAAAAATTATAAAATCAGTGAAACAGCATTGATGTTAACTCATTTTATGAAATCTAACAGATCATTCCTCTCCAATAATCTGAAGGTCTTAACAAGCTTCCAGTTTGAGAGAAAAGGAGGTAATTATAAAATTTTTTGTGAATAATTTAAAAGATACTACAGGAAATACAAATTTATGAGAAAATGAAGTCCTAGCTTGACCTAAAACATAAAGAAGTATATTATGATGATCGTGTAATGCATAAATCTGAAACAAAGTTGGTCTAATTGCATCTTTTGAAAAGCAAGAGTGGGAGAATGAACTCAGTTCTAAATAGAATAAACCAGAAAATAATGCCAAATCATCAAACTCAGTTTAAAAGAGGAAACTGTAATAGGAAGTTTTAGATATTATAAGCAGGTCTGGGGACTTTTTATTCTTAGAAAGCACCCCTCCTCCATGAGCCAGTGAATCTTTACAATTTTGAATTACAGGTCATATGTGAGTTTGGAGTCTTTTCTTTTCCTTTTGACTACTGACTCCATTTTCATTTAGGAGATATTAATGCCTAAGAGGAAAAGAAACTGCTTTGTTAGCTTATAACAAAGTAGGTCAGTTCCAAGAGGGCAGAGAGCAGCTTGAAGGAGGAAAAAGATCAGAGCTCTTTAGAAGGAAACAAAAAATACTGAAGGTTGACCCCAGTGGCTGGCACTTATTATTGGCTTGCCTCCCTGACAAAACAGTGACAAAATGCTAAATTAATGGGTTTGGGGAAAGCCTCTTTCCCCTCAGAGCAAAGATCAGAGAGTTCCCATTCCTGATGGCTTAGGTTCAGGGCAGCAGTACTGAAATATTAGGTGGGTTTTAAGGGATAAGCATCAGAATTGATAGTAAATATGATGAGGTTGTTTCTGATTAAGCACCAGCTGGAAGGGAGCTGCAGTTTATAGGTTTTCAATAAACAGCAATAAACCCTGATTTTTATCTCCCATTACCAGCTGTTTTACAGTTTTTTATTCCCTCTCAGTGCTATCTTTCTTGCTACCAAAACAGTTGCTTCTCTTACTTAATGTTGTCACCTATTCATTAACATAAATAACCCCTTTTATCTGTGACAAGAAACTTATCCTACTCCATGCTCAGAAACATAGCCCTACTACCAAAAACAATGCAAGATTCTCATAATCATTTTGTACCTGGTAGAAGATTTGTTTTTGTTATTGTTGTGTGTTCCACCCGAGTATCATATTGTCTAACCCATGAAAGGAATTCTTTCAAAGATTTTGCCTCCTATACTTGCTTACTATGTCCAATGAAGTGGCATTTTATACATTTTGGTTTTTTCCATCTGTAAAACAAAAATAAGCTATAGCAAAATTACCACTGAAAGTGTTCGTATACTGAAGAATTATTTTCTTATTCTCTTTCATGGTTTGAGCAATCTTTCATTCTTACATCTGATAATGTGAGCAATGTAGTTGAGGACAGCGATATGGAAAGTAACAACCAGTGTTGATTTGTATGAATTTGTCTTGAGACCCTGTATCACTTTGAATGTTCTTGCTTTGATTTGTTTATGTTTGTGATACTGGTATGCTGCTACTGTTCTATTTGTTTGTTTGTTTCTCATGTACTACTCACTTTAAAATAAAAAATTTTTTAAAAAAGAAAATGTTCTTGAATTGATACATAAAAGAGCACATGTATCTTTGCCTATATAATTCTGCATAGTAATTTTACTTAAAGCAAAGACTAAGGAGCATTGAATCCTAAGGAAGGGAAAGACTGAAGTGAAAAAAAAAAAGTATAGAGAAAGGAAAATTTAAGTGCGGGAAGATGTCTGATATGTAAAGCATTCTGCTGTTAAGCTAGCAATCTGTTTCCTTTCGTGAATGCAAGATGGGCAGAGAATTTTAAAGTACTCTTGATTTACTGCAGGGTCTTCCCCATTCCACTTTAGCAGTGAACTGCTGTGACATTACAGGTTGTCATTTTACCACGATAAGACTTAAACTTCATAGGAGACTTTCCTATTTAGGAAGGGAGGATAAGGGGTAAGTTCCTAAAGAACTAGAGTCCAGGCCCACCGTCAAAACTGCCAATAGGAAAGTACCACAGAACATGCACTGACTGCTTTTCCAAGGATTCCAAATGGAAATGCCCAAGGAGATTTCTGAAGAGAACACTTTGCCACTTTGTGTAGCTTGCAGAAACGAATGATGCTGTGGAAAATATTTTTCACCCAGGAGATTAAGGAAGATGTAGAGCTTCTTGATTTGTATACAATGACTGTAGCCTCTGGTTTTATAAAATCTCATTATCAAGAAAAGTGTGCTGTAAATACACTAAACTCTGCCTTTTTTTAATGTGGCCATCTTTGATATCACCCTGGAAAGTAAGGCTGTTTAAGGGAAGGGTCAACTTGTAGTAGTCCACCCACACCATATTATACATATGAAAAGGAAACTACAGCCCCTATTAACAACACTTTGACTATAAAGAAATATTTTCATTTATCCTCTTGATTTTTACTTTGTGACATTGCTTTTATACTTACACTCAATGCATTTTTCCTTTTGGTAGGTCTTTGAAATTCTCCAAGGCCCAAGGCTAAGGGATAATCTCTAATGCTGAGTGGATAGACTGGACATTCTGAGGAAAATGCCTCAGTCCTTCTGAAGAGCACTGAGCTTCTTTGTCCTTTTTTTAAGCAAAACTAACAGAAAATCCCTGATCTACAAAAGCCAGTGCAAAAACTCCAAAGGATCCAAAAGGAAGTTTACCTATTTCCCTTGTCTTATTTCTATGAGGCGATTTTGGACAAGATGCTGCTTCTTGAAACCAGATAATTACATTTGCATTATGGGACTCAAATTAAAATCTTAATTTTCTTAATAATATTTTCTTACCCAGGCATGGAAAATGAACGTGAACCTAGTGTGCTTCAAAGAGCATTAAAACCCACACAAGACAGAACATCTGAGCCCAGGTTTGTTGGGATGAACTGAAAACAAAGTTGTGTCCTGTTTTTGCACAGCCTCCATAGTGATTGGGAAATGGTGGTGTGAGATGGAGCCCTGCCTGGAGGGAGAGGAATGCAAGACGCTCCCCGACAACTCTGGATGGATGTGTGCCACCGGCAACAAAATTAAGACCACAAGGGTAAGTCCACTTGCTTCAAATGTGTCGTGCATGTTGCAGACTGTATTATCAGTCTTAGTGTTGTGCAAGCAGTTCCCAGAGGTGCTTTGAACAGAAAAAAAAGAAGAATGTTCCTAACAGAAAACAGTCTCCTCTGCACAGATCAGTGTCCGTTCTTGAGTAAGAGGTTAAAATTGAACTTGGCTTTTCTGTACTGGGAAGGTGTGTGTTTCTGCTGCAGATTCATAAATAAATCCATCATCTACGGAGCTCAAAATGATCAAGTAAGAGTCTTGCCCCAATGGTTGGCTAGCAAGGTCTGCATACGAGTAAGGTAATTTCTAAAGGTTCTTTAAAGGAAATCTTTTAGTGAGATGAAAATGTTTCTGTGAAGTGAATAGTCATCCTTTGAATTCTCTGGCTAAATCAGCGGTGAGCTCCAAACCGTACAACAGCCTGTAGGGTAAGGCTGCATTTGCCGTGATAGTGGGTCAGGATGGAGAGGCCTAGTGAGGCCAGTTAACCTACAGAGACTGGATACTCTAGGAAGCTTAAGGGAGGGTAAGGAGGATTGTGGGACATTTAAGGCAGCTACTATTTATCCACTACTACAGGAGCATGTCAACATTTTAACAACTCGTATGGTTGCATGTGTGCACTGCTTGAACATTAGATCTGGAATATGTCTGTATGTGTGTGCATGCTTTAATTTGCTGAGCATCTTTAAAGCAATCTCCACCATTAGTTACAAGTCTCAGGATCTTGAGCTTTTGATCTAAAAAAAAGGTGACTGAAATTTAAAAGAGCTTCTCTGATTCCAACTCCTGTATCATGAATCTTAACTGATCTTTCTTCATGGTATCATCTTTCCAATAAATAAAGTTAGTTATACAGCTTTGTGATACAAAATAAAAATACTGCTACCTAACACTATATAAAACACATTTTTGCACGTGCAAAATTAGTAGAGACAGTTAATGTGCCAATTTAGTCACCTATATTTTGATCCACTAGGCAGTAAATGGCCATATCTCACTGACCTGCAGCCAAGAAAGATTTCCAAGCCAGCCTGGCTTGTTGACATGTACGTATCTGCAGGCGCCTCAGCCTTTACCATGGGTTACTGTACTTCACATCAATGGAACACCTACAGGAGAGAGTACTCAGTCATTGGCTTGTGTCACTTACCCACAGAAACCATTTTTAACTGGCTAGCGCAGGATGTCAGATTTCCCTTTGGTTGTTATTATGGTTTGTGTCTGGGTGTCCCCCCAAAGCCTCATGTGGTCATGGGGCAGGCTTTTAGAGTTTGATTATGGGTGTGAGATCTGCACCCGCCCTGGGGTGGATAGTTTGCATATGTAAGGGAGAGGAAAAGAGTGCTTGAGGCCATTCCTCTCCCATTCCTCCCTGGTGTGTGCTTGTTGCTTTGTTGTGTTCTGCCACCATGAGCTATAGCCCTCTGCCATGTGCCACTCTGCCTTATAACTTGCCAAGTACAGACTGAAACCTCCACAAACTGTAAGCAAAATAAACCTTTCCTTCCTTAATTTTGGGTGTCGGGTATTTTTGTTCCAGCAATGAGAAAAAAGTAACCAAGACAGTTGTGTTTTGCCAGAAAATGATTTTACCATATAATTTGAAGATTTCCTCCTGAATCAGTTTGTTTTATTAAGCTACTCTGAATTATGGCCAATACACTTAGAATCCAATCATCATTGTTTTAAACACGTTGCTGATGTGTTCTCTATCAAACACCCATTCCCTACTCCAGTCTGTAACTGATCACTTTTTTCTGACAGTGTCTCAAAATCTAAAATTCATGAAACAAAATTAACGTATACCAAATTATTTCAAGATTTAAATCTGGGATATTCCAAGAGTACTAAACAGCAGATAATTTAGAAGGTAGAATATAAACTCAGAAATAAAGAACAAAAATGAGCCCCAAAATGAACAAATCCACAAATTGTCCATGCTGCTTTCCTGTGACCTATGTAACTTGCTTTTACCTGGTCTCTGCAGATTCTACTTTAAAACTGTTGGGCATGTTATAAACCTGCGCTAGTCATTTTTCCAGCATCACACAAGTGCTGCACAGAATCTGATCACAGTAATAGAGGACAGACACACTGTCTGCTACCACCCTGGGTGGGTTGAGTGCAACTCAGGCAATTGCGTGTACAAGACGAATAAATTACTGTCGAGTCGGTGCAAACAGAGGACGTACCTGTTGTGACGTGGGCATCCATTTCAAGTGAGGAAATGAGAGACTGCTCTACAGCCAAATCATCAGTCACCTGAGAATTCTCGTCTATCTTTAGAGAAGGAAAAGAGCATACTCTTTAAACCTTGAGAGGACTCAAACACTATTCCTGACATATATTTTCTCACCCACTCTTCCCAAGAAGTTCACAATATAATAACTTTTAGACATAAAGTGCATGAATTAATTCCAGATGATGCATATAAGACCCACCCACTCTGTACAGGTGGCAGACTAACACCGGTTCTTAAATCATAGGCTCTGGGAGGAGGCTTTATATTAGTTTTCTTGTTCCACTATGTATATTTTCCCATCTGAACACATATATGCCTACACACTTCAGATACTGACTCTGACAATTTAACTTTTAAAACAGTTTAATTCACAGGTATACTTTATTATGAGTCATATATTTTTCTTATTCTCTTCTTATTGAACTGTTACAAAGAAAAAACAAAGAAAATCACCTCTTTTGTTCTTAGATGGAAGGTTGATTCAAAAGAACACTCTCAGAAAAAAAAGAGAAATAAAAACTTAAAAGGTTGAGTAAACACACCCAGAATGTTAAAATGACAATTGAGAGTTTCTTTTGTACTGTTATTTTTAAAAGTAATTCCAAGGTAAAGATAATTGCCAGAAAGCTTCCTAGGACTTCATTCTCTTTCCCTATATAATAAGAGATTTTTCAAAACATTCCTATTTGGTATATTACTTTCAAAAATATCCAAAGATAAAATTCTCCAGAGTCTTTGAAATGTAGATAAACAATAGATGCTTCAATGTGTGATCTAATTTAAAATATTATTGTATTTATTTTCTAAGGAAGGTGGAGGGTAGAAATTCATTGTTTCATCTAAACTATCAGATACCCCAGAATGTGAACTGGCCTGGACAAGACACCTCTGTCAAAGGGAAATGTTGGAGATGTTGGATTTGGGTAACAACGTAACCCAAAAAACAAAGAAGATAAGAGAGGAGGAATTAGGCAAAGGGAAATTTTGAAGAATAAATCCTAAGAAGAGAGGCAGCCTCCTGCATACCACCCTGGAGAAAGGAATGGTCATTTTTACAAAAATTCCAAGACCTAGTCTGAAGTAAAATAAAGCCGGTAACACATTGCCTCCTGGTGAGAAGCTAAGTCTCTCTGTTTGAAGGTTCATGGCTGAATTTTAAACACCATCTCTGCTGGATACTTGGTTGATGACAGTAGCAAGGCTAGCTTGATACTGACTACTCATGTTTGCCTGTGCTTTTCTAGACTAATTTACCTTTCTTTTTTTAAAACTAGTACATCAAGTAGAGAATTTGGATAGCTGTGGAGGTTCTGCCCCAGGAACCCATCTATACCTTGCATATGTAGAAATAATAGCCAAATTTGGAAAGACTTCCCCAAGACTTAGAGAAAATAAGTCATTTAACAATTATGTAATAATTCCATTGAAAAATTGAACATCAGCTGCACAAGAACAAGAAGAAGGGGTGGTATGAGGAAAATCAAAGTCACTTGAAAAGAAAAACTATCAGATTGAAACAGCAGACTAAAATGTGGTATGATACCTTGGAAGGTAACTAATAACTTTGGATTTGCTTTAGGCATGAGACATGAACATTTCTTACACTAGTAAGAAAATCAACAGTAAGTGCACAATGTAAGGTCAAGTTTCATTTCCTAAAAGGTGAAGTTAGCAGGTATCAGACTGGCTAATTGATCAGAATATCTGTCTGTTCAAATCAGTGTTTTATTTAACTGTCCAGCACAAATCCACCATAACTATTGGTCCACACTTTCTTAGGTCCCTCTTCCCAGATGATGACTCTGATTACACAAAATTACTCTAATCCCCCCAATGTTTTTAACATTATTGAAAGGGGAAAATACCAGCTGTGACATACCCCAGCTTCTTCACTAAAAATTCTGTAAGATCTAAAATGTTCTAGGAACCTACAACTTTACAATCCTGAAATCCTAAGAAAGAGAGATTTTTAAAAGATAGTATCAGTTGCTCTTGAAAAGGAAAAGACTTAAATATAAGGAAAAGAAATGAAAATATTCAGAGATTTAGAGAATTTCAGAAAGGAAATAAACCAATCTAAACTGTCAGAATTGCTCCTGGTTCCAAGTGAACTCATTCATTTTTTTCATCAATAAATATGTTCAAGTCTCTACTATCTAGATTCAGTGTATCAACATCCTGAATATGCTATGGTGGACATGATGCGCCCTTTGGTCTTTCAGTGAGGAGAGGCACTAGGGTTGGGCAGAAATGGATAGAACAGAGATAAAAGAAAGAAAATTTCAATACAATTTTATAAAGATCACTTTATCCATGTGGTGAAAAAGAAGACAGTGTAAACAAAAAGTGATAAAGGCCATAAAAGTGAATATAGGCAATCAGGGTTTGGAATGACCTATAATTTCTAAAAAGAAGATGAGAAAGTTAGATGTATAGATGCTCACACATTCTGCTTTTGGCCCAACCAACTTTTGAATGTCAACTCTTATCATTATTATTCCTGCTTCACTCCAACACCTTTAAATGGACTTCCATCCCTATACCAAAACACCCATTTTCAAAAACCATAAAAAATTAAGAGATGGTTTTGAAAAGCACTGTATTTCCTAGAACTCTTAAGTAGAAGCTATACTCTATTTATGCTCTAGACCAAGGATTCTTTGTGCATGCAAGCTGAAGGACTGACGTTTTGGATCCATAGTGCAATGGAACAAGAGGCCTCTACAGTGCTCTTGATCACGCTCCTGCTGTGTCATCGAGTGGAACTGCTTCTAACTTTATGAAAGCATCCTCTGTCCTACACAGATGTGATCCAACCTGGGAACTGACTTTATAACGCCACCCTTCAAAGTCTTACAATAGTCCAAATTAACAAAGCTGTAAAATGATATACTCAGTTCAAATTTTCATCATATGAAGACAAATTGAGTACAAAATTCACAGGATCCAATACAAAATGCAAATGCAAGGAACTTACTAAAAAATTACTAATAAGTTCAAGACAGCAACAGCAGGGCAATAAACCAAATGCAGACCTTTTGTGAGATAGGTCCCTGTACAACTGGATAGGAGGCATGACCACGAAGCCAGTTCTGGAGAGATGTTGCTCCAAGAACCTTTCACCTCAGTTGTGACAAAAATCAATTTAATATATTGATGAACGCATAGGGTCTGTCCATATGCCTCAATCACCACTTGAGAAGCACTGCTCTCAACTTTAAGATGTTTGACTTCAGATCACCTGAAACAAGCAACATCTTAAAAACTTCAAGGAGTCCTCATTTTCTGCATAGATGCACCTTTTATGTCATTTTGTACTTTTGTCCCTGACATGTCTTTCTCTCTTTGATTTCAGATTCACCCAAGAACCTAACAGAAGCATTTGTTATAGTGAAGGAAAACCAACCTGTGGAAAGAAAGTACATTTTGAGAATTTAAAACACCTTGTACATTGACAAGCCAAACGGATTACTTATTTGCACTTTGACTGGTTACCAGATAATCAGTGTGATTACTGTGTGTAAAGAAACATCCCCATAGCAAGAAGACTCAGAGTTGGCGACACCATGGAAAGTGGGTTATGAAGCATTTTTTCGTGAAGCTTTTGGGATCGTGAAGAATGATCAGCTATCTTCTAATTTGGATCTACAGTTCCTTTGTACCATTTGAAATATATGTATATATATAATATTTTGAAATATTATATATTCTCTTCAAGAAATGAACAGTACCACAATGTAAGAAGGCTGGTGTGGCCCTTTTAGTTCTGGGTGTTTTGTCAGTTTTGTTCTGTTCATTATTTCTTTTTCTGTTGGTGAGGAAGATACGTGCCCTTGTGAGAATTCAACATGGTGTGGACACCAAAGGCCAGCAGCAGGCGGACTCCTGGAATCTGAGGCATCAAGACACTGAACAGAGCTTCCTTTAGTTTCCTACCAAATGGCCCAAGGAAGCACATCGTCCTGTTTTCTTGTTTTCTACCACGTGCAATATTAGCATGCAAGCTTGGCTTACATACCCGTACTTTATATTCAATTGATATATAATAACCGTTCTAACCTCTTCCAGGAAAATATTTTTAGAACTACTAGCTTTTCCACAGATAAGAAAAAGAGGATTCTTGAGGGAACTGCTCCTCCATGCTATTAAGACTCTGGCAGAGTTATGGTAGGATGTAGATTCCTATATTAATAAGTCCTGTAAATACAATGTCTTAGGGCTTTGTATGGCTGTCCTAGACTGCAGAAATGTCCTCTGATTAAATCCAAAGGCTGGCATCGTTAATGACATAGTTCTATAGCAACAAGTCTCATCATGGCACCTCTTTCTATGTTTGATTTGCTTTTTCCTAGAGTGTTCAGATCTCTTCTGGTGAGATAGGAAGGCTATGAAAGCAATTAGGTCTCAGAATGATCGATGTGACCAAATTTTGGACAGCCCTATTAAAGTGGTAAATAACTTCTTTCTAAACCTACTTGTCCTATTTATTTGCCATTTGTTCTTTCTGAATTGCTTTAACCAAATCCAGGGAAAACCCTGTTCAGAGACTTGCATTTAACTTGTTCTTTGAGTCCATCAGAGCTACTACATTCAATCTTAATATTTTGAAAACCAGAAATTCATTACTATAACTTGAATGTTACTAGCCAGCAAAATGAAATGTACAGTCCCATTACCGGGCTTCCACAGTGGTCATTGAGATGATACATGTGGAGTTCACCCCTCCAAAAGAGAAGAAATGATAATCTATTGCCTATTTAGTTGCTCAGCTAATGCTTATAAAAAAGGAGAGGTCTATTTAAATTCTTGTTTTCAGGGGGAAATTATAATGGTACTTTACATTCCTATCACTTATCACATCACTTGCAAGTATAACTTTTTCTCCAAAACCTGTTCTCTGGTATGTGTATTGCTAGGGCCTCTTATTAGATCAGCAGCAGAATGAAGTCCCAAAGTCTGGACTTTTTAAAATTAAACCTCAGGTGAAATTGAGAGGCTCCTTCATCTCTCTTAAGATAGCCTGAAGTCTGATTGAAAGTGTAAACACTCTAAGCAGAAAAATTGATTCTGTATTTCAAAGTCTTATGAAAATATCCAGAGATGGAAATAGAATCCTGATTGCAAAATCCAGGCTTCCACTTTCACAAATATTTGTGGAGAAGGTAGCATAAAATTCATATGAACAAATCAGAATTTTCTACATTTGCATCCCAGCCCCATATACCAAGTAATATACTACAATCCCATCTGTGAACTTTGGATTAAAAATGAAATCATAAACCCAAAGAATTGTCTGAAACAGTATATCTCAAAATGTACAGGGAAAATTACTTCTACAATCACATGTAACTTGGAAAAAATTTTAAACAAAACAAAATAGAAACGTTTGCTGGATGAGTTAATACACCAAAGGATTTTGCACTGTATCTTCAAGAAAAACCAGAGTACAAGTAAAAAACCGCAGAGTCTATGCATTTAGGCGCATGGGAAGTCACAGTGCTAATGAGAAGCACATGCTACATGGAATGAGAAAGTACAGTGAGTGTCTTCAGTTTTTTAAGATAACCAGAAATCTAGATTTTTATACAAAATTTCCTCACATTCCTAAAATTAGATGAACTGCTTCCATTTTAAGGGCTGTAAGCACTATTATTGTCCCAAATTATCTGAATACATGGACTTTACTATGAGATTAATGTTCCTTGGGATCATCTTTTAATAGCATCAATCCCAAATGAAAACCCAGTGAGAAAGAAGAAGGCTGCTTTCTTTCCGAAGGTCTCACACATGCAGATGCTTCTCATGCAGACGCTTCTCAGAGCTCACAGCGTGTGGTGCTCACAGCTTTTCCTGTCCTGGAAGCAGCAGCTCTAAGGCAATAAAAGAAATAGTGTAAAGGGCTACCTCTGAGCTCACTTCCCATTGATCAATTCACGCAATCACCTCCCTTGAAAGACCTAGAAAAAGAAACAGGGAAAAAAAAGATCATATCAGAATGAGGCAACTATCCAATAAGACAGTGCAAATATTTGTAAATGTCATCAAATTCAATTTGGATTTATCCAAGTCCTTTACACAAATGTGTGAACCATCAAGTTGTGTTTAAATTTAACTTGCTGTAGTTTGGGGAATTCAGTAGCTACCATCTGCCTATTGAATCTGAACATTTATAGTGCAAAAACTTATATCACATATTTTGGGTAATAAAGAACTCAGTGTGGTATGACTAATATTGATGCATCAAGTGCAATGAATAATATTGTAACATGCTTAGAGCAAATGCAAAGATTTCCAACCAGAGACCTTCTGGTAAAAAAGGAAATATGGTTTATTTCTTATGATAGAGATTTCCAAGTTAACTGTTGGCTTTTTTTGGGAGATTAGATTTTCTATTAATGGATTTAAAAAGCACATTGAGGCATTTACTAGCCACATCTGTTTTCTATTACGGAATGATGAAGAATTATTTCGCTAATACACAACCCAACATCTTTTCCCCTTTGAATCCACTGTGACTTTAGCAACGCAGCGGTTTCGTAGCACAATATGTAATGCCACCTTGCCATTGGCATTGCTACAATAACTTTTGGAAAGAATAAAAATGTTTATATGAGGAGGTCTACCACATTCCTCATTTGCATGGGGTATGCACCCCTTCACTTTTAATTAAGCTTAGCCATCCCACTTCCAAAGCTGGTAGGATGTGTTTGACAGGAGCAAGCTCTTTTCATGAGCTTCTAAATACACTATTTACGGTTCCCGGTACCGGAGAAAAAACAAAAAATAAATAAATAAATAAATAAATAAATACACTATTTAGTGTTTAGTAAATTGTGAGACTCAATGCATCTCTATTTTAACAATGCAAAAAATGATAAAAGGTGCTGCTAAGGAATATGAGAAGTTGAAACAAGTGGCAACAGTGGTAGAATTTAATTTGCTGGGACTCGTGGGCATGATATAAAAGTGATGGAAGAGAATCATGCTCATGCTTCAAGGTAAATTAAAGAGAGGTGATTAATTATATACACACACATGCACACACACACACACACACACACACACACCACTACAATAAATCCCCTATTAGAGATCTTAGGTTCAGTAGGCCAGGATTTCTTCACAAGCTCTGAGGCATTCCAGTGCATATCATGAACATGCTCACATTATTGGTATAACTGGCCCTTAATTATTTATTTATTTATTCCTGTTGCTTAGGTACTCTGCCTTAATTTAGAAATATTAAGTCCCTGCATGTCTATTTGAATATGTTGTTTCATTATTTAAATAGAATAACCAGTCACCAGTCACAAAAACCAGGATGCCTGTCAATACTGACCATATTCATAATCCAGGTGATGGTTTTCCAACACCAATTCCTACCTGCCTGGAAAAGCTGTAACTCAAAGGTGGACTCATGTGCCTATCTAGGAGAAAACCCAAAGCCAGGTGCTCCATGGGACAGTGTTTCTGAACAGTTAGACCAAGGCACATGAATATGTAGCCATGCAGTACGTGTTGAAAGTGGCTGCTTCCCAATTCTGTAAATAAAATTTTAAGTTATAACTGGTTCAAATGAAGTTCTAAGACATGGCATAAAAGGCACATATTTCTATAGGAGCTACCCAGGTGACAAGTGAGTTAAGCAGGGCCACCTGTGATGCCTAAGCATACATGGTAATGGAAGAGATCCTGGAACTCTGCAGAGCACTAGTAACCAGAATTTGGCCCCAGCCTATTGTCACCATGCAATATTAGGAAACTAATGTGGCTAGATTCTTCTGATTTTTTAGGATTATCAAAAAATTCGTATGTTGACATTAAATCTCCAAATTTACATATTCTAACCCATTGAAATGTTGTTAAAGATGTGACTGAAGACTTAGTTCTGTCTATGAGACACAAATTTGTAAATCTGGTCCAAAAATAGTATTTTCATATATTTATGCTTTCATGTACTTTTGGGGTTATAGAAAAGTAGTGGAGGAAGATCTAAGTTGCAAAAATTGCATACAACCTGAAGCCTGTATCTTCTATGGGGATACAGTGGCTTTAGAAAGGACATCATGTGTCTTCTGTGAGTGCATTTCAAGATTGCAAAAGGTGACCACCTACTGCACCAGCTTGGACCAAGCAAATTCATTCCCATAGACTCTAACTGTGGGGTAACCAAGCTAGTCTGGGAGCAAAATATGGGTATTGGAAAGCAGTACCGAGTGGAGAAATCTCAGCAGCTGGTAGAAAAAGACTAAAGAAGTTTGTATATTTATTCAAAATAATGTTAGGTGGTACTCCCCAATGAACACGGTTTTCACCCTATGCTTCTATGTTACACGGACAACATTGCACAATGATATTATGTTGGGGCTCCTTCCCACTCATGAAGATCTGCTCCTCACATTTCCATGTGCATCAGGTGCGCTGTTGATTGAGCTGGCTCCTGACTAGAATCCTCCCAAGATGGTCAGATTTGGAAATCTAGAACCTCTCATCCCTCACCTCACCACCATCACACGCCTCTTCTCCCCTTTCTGAGCCTCAAAAGACACTGCATCTATTAAAAAGAGTCCAAGAGCTATAAGCCAAGGAACTCGCCTAAGTGGTCGAGTCCTTGTTTCTTGGCTTTTGATTTCCACTCATTAGAAAACCTTACAATCTCTCAATGTTCATGTCTAAAAAATAGAGATCATTTTACAAAATGTAATGGTTATAGAAAGACTCAAGAAATAATATAACTGTTTTTAAAAATATACAGTGTTAGATAGCAATCATCATTATTATTCTCAGACTGCTGTGACTACGGGATCACCTAGAATCTCCCCCTGTCAGCTCTACCTTAATCAAGGCAAACACACGTGGATAAACAGCCAAACTCTTATTTCATACTCTTTCTCAGAAATGCCTGTTGTCTAAGATCCTTGCTGAGTTTGTACAATTCTCCATTTGTTAGCACCACTACCAGTGTTTTTACACCACTGGAGGGGAAAAAAGCCAATATAGACCATATCTGTGCAAAACGATCTCAAATCATGACACAAGCAAGCAGTTGAATATTGCAGAATGCACCCTACTGGTGTCCAGAGTATTTTTACAGAACATGAGTTACTAATGACCAGAGCTATCTGGTGAGTAAGGTGATCAGCAGCAGCTACACATGATGTCATGGTCACTCTCCCTATGTATGGTCCTGTAGTCATTTAGGCTAATTGGCCAGGAACATTCACATGTCCCCCCGTGTTTCTGCAGCAGCACGATCTTTCACATCCTATATTACTCCCTCTCACTGGTAAATATTGCCTGCATACATTCATTCACTTTTTCCTCCAAGAAACAAATATCTGTTTAGTACTCACTGTGCGTCAGAAGCAGTTCTAGAGGTGACAAATGAGAGCAGAGATGAATACATGATTACAGATCATGATATAAGAATTTCAAAAGTAGCCAAGAAAATACATAGTGGGGGGGAAACA